GTGGCTCGTCGCCAACGACGTGATTATTGGCATCGCATTGGGGTCATACATCATCGACAATGCCAACTGGGTGGCCTTTCAGATCAGTTTCATTTTGACAGGCTATACGGTGGAAGGGCTACAGGGTACTATTTCCTGGCTCATGGACTGGCCGGCTGGTCTTAAGCTCAACAATGAACTCGCCGCGTTCTTGGGTGACCTTTTCTTGTGGGTCATTGAAAACTGGGCAGGTAAGCTTTAGATTTCTAGGCACTCTAGTGTTTGATACGGGCTAACCGATAGAAGCTTGCATCGCCAACCTGCAACCCTACCTACCACACATCATTTACGTCGTCGGCTGTTCCAGTTTCGCCGGGGCAAGCATGCCAATTGCCCTGTTTTCCGACCTCATATCTATATTGACAGTGCATATCTACTCCTTCTACATCGCATCTGCACGGATCTTCAACTGGCAACTTACCATCATTATCTCTCTTTTCCATCTTTTCCGCGGCAAGAAGCGAAACGTGCTTCGCAACCGTATAGACTCATGCGATTACGATCTTGACCAACTACTTCTTGGAACCATCTTGTTCACCGTTCTCTTCTTCCTTCTACCCACTGTTATTGTCTTCTATCTCGCGTTTGCCAGCGCGCGGATGTTGATCATTTCGCTTAAGGCAGTGCTCGATACCTGCTTGGCCTTCTTGAACCACTTTCCACTTTTTGCACTGATGCTCAGAGTCAAGGACTCACGGAGACTGCCAGGTGTGTTACCTTCCCCTCCCACAAAAGGCTAGTTAGCTGATTGCATGCTCAGGTGGAATACGTTTCGAGCTTCGCGAAGAGCACGACAAGTCTTCGACAAGCAAGTCAAGCGTCAGTGTGCCTTATATACACCTTGAGGTTAGCAACCCTCTTCCCCGTTGAGCCATCAAGCGCTAATCTGGATAGTCTATCCCTCTTACCCTCCGTGCCATGTTCGACCAGTACTTCCAACTGGGTCATCGCCTACGGAAACATTACCTTTCCCCACAAGTCATCTTCTGCCTTGTGACCGGCCGCTTTGTGCCTCCTATACACCGTCGCAACCTATACGGCATGCAGTACAGCATGCTTCCTGCGCGCCGGGCGAGCATGACCGAAGTATGGTCAATGCTGACACAGCCTCGCAAGACTAGCAGTAGCAGCAGCAGCTCCTCATCTATGGTTGGAGGCATGGGTACTGCAGCAAACGGGATCCTGAAGGTTCCAGGTGCGTTTGGGCAGGGCGAATTGAGGAGGCGAGGGCACCGATAGTAATGAATCATGCCGCATTAGATTATAATCTAGTATATAATGTTGATATACGATATAGAGCAGTCGTGTTGCCAGACCAGGTGTAAAACAGTTGAATATATGCTTCGTATATAGTACATGTAGCTAGATACAGGAATGTTCGATGCCACAGTTAAAACTCCTGCCATGAGAGCAAAAGCGTCTAAAGAGATGCACCCAAAACGCCAAAATGACATATGATAATAATACAAAATGGACTCGTTCTCCAGTAAACTGTAAGTCCCAATATGAGAGTCTGACAGTATACAGAAATGAGATGAGATGAGTGCTTGCTCGGCGGAATTCATGGGCCTTGCTGCTGGCTGGCCCCATATCGCCGGAGAGGAGATGGCCATCATAACCAACATCTCTAATGCAAAGAATCGTCAAAAGAGGAGAAGCAGAGAAAGAAAGAGCGAACAGATAAAAGTCATGGATACAACGCATCAGCTTTTCCGCATGTATTCAGCTTCGCTGTCCTTCGTGCTCTTACGAGCATCATCGAGCATCGTGTCGATACCTCGTTCTTTCAGTGCGAGCTTTTAGACAAAATTAGCCAGGTAACTAGTTTGAGGGCCGCTTTGAATAGGGTCATACATTCAGACAAGCCCTGTACTTTTTGAAAAGCTCGTCGCAATCATTGGAAGCGGTGTTGCCACGGAGGTATTCTGCGGATCTCTGATGAGTTATACGCTTATCAAGGGTATGAAGTATGAGCCTTACTTTCGCTGTACCATTTCAGGAAGCATGTATCATACTTTCTAGTAAAAGTGTTAGTTGAGTATGAGATGTGTGTTGAGGTGTGCTGGTGGATGAGTCGTACTCTTTGATATCGTTACACTCGGGGGCGATTGACGCGGACATCTTGGATCGGGTTAATCGAACAATCCCTTCCACTGACAGACAAAGGAGCGAGATAGATGGATCTATTTTCTGTCTATGGATAGATTTTGATATCCTCGAGTGCATGTAAATGAAACCTGCTTCTCTGTTGAGATCATCTTCATGGCACCTTACGTAATCCATCTTCGAGATCACTCGTGATGATCACTAGTACTATTTAAGCAGGCGGTCAGTATCAGCCGGCGCGACGATTTTCTCCACCTCCGACTGCTTTTTTTTCTTATCCAGGAAAGACAAGTCCAGTTCCCATTGCTGCTGCTGCCAGAGTCCAACGGGTCCGTCTGTCTGGTCTCTGCTTCTCAACATGGATTCCACAGCGGATTTTGGCTCGTTACAGCAACGGGTGCAGTCGTCCCTGATGCAGGTGACGCGCACTGCCGGTCAACTTTCAGCCGAAGACCTCGATTTCCATCGCACCTCTAACGCAGAGGTTTCTGATTCCCTGGATGAGCAGAGCAACCGACTCTTGTCGCTCACTTCTTCTATTTTGAAAGCCGCCACCGCCGGAACCGATGTTTCTGCACCGACCTTGGACGACGAAGATTCCCTCGAAGATAATTGGCGCGGCGTCGTGGATGTCATCGATGCGCTATTGGAAAAGGCCGACGCATGCTTGGATGAATTCACCGGTGTTATTAAGAAATTGAGCCCGTCGCAACAGGATCAAGCTGCCGCTGCCGCTGCGAAGGCTTCGAAGAAGCAACCCGCCAAATTCCCGACCATTTACGACTACGGCCCGTCGAAGATCCCGAAGCCGCAATTGCTGTTCGAACGCAAGGCCGATAACACCGATACCGCGCCTTTCAAGCCTTTGCTTAAGACGAAGCCTCATGCCGTTGTTCCGCTGAAAGACTCGTTAAAGTTGTCCGATTCCGCTGTCGGATATGTCAACCCGTACGAGAAGGAGATTCGTGCCGCAAAGTTCCCCACTTCTTCCTACAGCGTGTCGCCGCCTGTGGATTATCAGCCGTGGGAGTCGACAAAGGCGACTTTTGTGGATACTCTGGAGGGAGTGAAGGAGATGTTGGAGGAACTTAAGGCCGCGAAGGAGATCGCGATTGATTTGGAGCATCACGATGTGCACTCGTATCAGGGTCTTGTCTCCTTGATGCAGATCAGCACTCGGGATAAGGATTGGGTTGTTGATACGCTTAAGCCGTGGAGGGAGGAGCTGCAAGTTCTTAACGAAGTGTTCACGGATCCCAACATCTTGAAGGTGCTTCACGGTTCCTCGATGGATATTATCTGGCTTCAGCGCGACTTGGGGCTGTACGTCGTTGGCATGTTCGATACATACCATGCTGCTTGCGCGTTGAACTACCCCAAGCGCAGTTTGAAGTTCCTGCTGCAGAAGTTTGTCAACTTCGAAGCCGATAAACGTTACCAGATGGCCGACTGGCGCATTCGACCGATCCCGGAAGGCATGTTCGATTACGCTCGTTCGGATACTCACTACCTTCTTCACATCTACGACCACATTCGCAACGAACTTGTCGAAAACTCCCTCCCCGACAACAACCTTATCGACTACGTCCTGGAGCAGTCTAAGAAGGAAGCTCTGCAAGTATATGAGCGTCCTGTTTACGATGCTGCTACTGGTCAAGGACCGGGTGGTTGGTACGACCTCCTTTCTCGCAATTCGGTCGTGGTCAACAGGGAACAGTTTGCCGTATTCAAAGCAGTACATCAGTGGCGTGACGAGGTTGCTAGAGAGGAAGACGAGGGCGTGCAGTGCGTGTTCCCGAAACACGTTCTCTTCAGGGTTGCTCACACTATGCCGCTCGACTTGGGCACCCTGTTCCGGACATTGTCGCCTGTGACACCAATTGTCCAAAACCGCGCTGTAGACCTTCTGGAAGTCATCAAGAAGGCTAAGGATGAGGGCGCTGATGGCCCTGAATGGCGTGATGTCTACGTCAAGCCAACCAGGGGTACACCGGCCGCGCCGGCGACACAGCCAGTCGATGTCCCGTCCCCGACCCCAGCAGACGAGGCCAATCTCCCCACTGTATCTCGCTACGAGGTCTCCCAATTCTGGGGTTCCGTGTTGGAGTCACAAGAACCTCCCACGGTCCCTGCATACTCCGCCGTTGCTTCAGCCGAAGCTCTCCGTCTCTCCCTCCCCCTTCCGCCTATGCCTAAAACCGTCTCCGAAGCCCGCGAAAAGCTCGCACCCGCTCAACCTCAAACCCCGAAACCCGCTACCTCTGCACCCGCCGCCAAGGAAGAGAAGAAAGAGGACGAGAACAAGTACTTCACCGTCAAGGAAATGGGTGGACCACGTAAGCGCAAGGCCGCCCCCGCAGAGACGGCCGAGCAATCTCAGTCCGCCTCATCGGAATTCGACACCACTGACGCCAGTTCCTCGTTGGACACTGAAGATAAGCCGTCCAAGAAGCAGCGCCGCAAGGAGAAGAAGGACAAGTCCGCAGCACAACCCGAGACAGCTGCCAAGGAGGACGGAGAAGAGGAGGAAGAGGAGGCTCCCTTCAACTACGAGTCCGCTGCCTCTGTGTTCAATGCCAACCCCAAGGCTACTTCGGGACTCCCGTCCAGGCGTCGTTATAACCCCTATGCAAAGGTGCTCGATGCCCCGTCGGGAGTGCGGAAGCAGAAACGCGAGACTGCCGGAAAGGCGTTTACGTTCCGGTGATTTGTTGGGTGTGTATGATGCAAGGGAGTGTTGTTTCTTGGTCAGAGGAATGGTGCGCAAAAGCATGGGCATGGACATAGTGTTTGTAAATGCATAGCGATACCCGGTTTTAAATCTAACTTCAAATCAATTCAATTTTGTCTAGTCCAGTCCGTTCCAGTCTTGTAGTATCGGTCAATACTAGTTATCAGTAACGTAGCTCAGCTCACCATATCACCAGCCACAACCACATCCACCCTCTGCAGTATTAGTATATAACTAACCAACCACTTCCTGCATCCACTAACCAACCCACCAACCACTTACTTCTTCTCCTTCCTCTCCTTCTTACCACCAGCCAAAGTCTTCTTCCTCTGCTTAACCATATACGAATACATCATGGGCGAACCTAGAACACAAACACACGCATTAACAAACCACAACTCCATACCATCTACACATCAATGTCAATAGGAGTAAGGGGAAAAAAAAACTCACCAGGTCCGTAAAGAAACAAAAAGAAAATGAAAAGCGCCTGAACAGGAATGCTGTTCGTAACGCGCAGCGCCTGGAACATGAGCCACCATTCGCTTCCGATGCCAACGGGGTAGAGGATTAGGAAGAGGGAGTATCTAGAGGGAATTAATTCAAACTCTTGTCTATACGAATGAAGGAAGAATAAATAGCGATAGGGACGGTACATACCTCAACCACCTCAACAAGCTCGGCACAGGAGCACCTGCACTCAAGACTGCGAAATAAGAATACCGGATTGCATCTGCGAATGACCATGCAAGCAGCATGTACTTGTATGCTGGGGAGGGACTGGTGGTCTCTGGGTAGGCGTAATTGATGGCCCAGACTTGGACGCTGCGGGCGAAGATTTGGGTGAATGTTGTGAAGATGGGGGAGCGGGTGAGGCCTTTTCTCGGTCAGTAATTCGTGTTTGTTATTGTTGGGGGTGGAATTGGGATACTGTAGGGATTTAGGTATTGGGGGATGGGACTTGACTTGCCTAGACTCGCATGAAGGATCTCAAGAATAGCAATAGTTTGGGTCCATCTTGTCCAGGGTTCGAGAGTAGCGTAGGTCGTTTGGGGGGATTGGAAGGGGGAGACGACGATAGAGGAGAATATGTATAGCCAGAGAAGGGCGTTGATGCTGTTGTATGTTACTAGATAGATTGTTCTTAGGGGGGACATTTTGTTGGATATTGATATTTGGGTGGATGGTGGTGATGGGAATTGCGGTGCGAAGAAACGGAGGAAATACAACTCCGTTAAGGTGGAAATTTGCATGTGATTGCGGCTGAAATCATAGCTGCGGGTAATGAGGAACTATCGAAATTTTTCCATCTTCGCTGGTGATGTCGTATGTGTGAATTATTCTTGGGTTTATATTGACATGTCTATCTCATCATTGTTGGATTTGGATTTAAGCTTATCGGAGACAAATTAGGGTTCATGCAGGAATGCGCAGGGGTTCGTACAGCCCGGTGGGTGAATGGGCGCTGTTCGGGGAGAATCATAGCCATTCAGGTGTCTTGGGTCCACTTTCGGGACAGAATAATGTTTCAGTAGAGTTGAATGATATGTTGTTTGCTACTGTAAATTGGTCGTGCTTTGCCTTCTAGTTAGGAGTCACCTGACTGAGTGATATTGACTGATGTTGCAACGCTGGTGTTGCTTCTTCAATGCCTGTAAGAGACATGCACCAGTTTTTCTGTTGGTGTAGAACCATTCATGACAGGTGCAAAAGCTGTCAGAAAGCGAGCCCCTCATTGGCTTTCGGTCATTGTCATTCCTGAAGGACCGCTCAGGGCGAATTTTACTCCTATATCAACATCTGGCTGTTTCCGATGCAATCACTCAACGCTACTCCAAAAGTATAGGTACATTCCGCTTCTCTCGGGAAGCAAGAAGATCAATACATAGGAATTACTGTCTCAAAAGTCGCCATAATGGAGATTTCCTTCGCATGTCCTCGACTAAAGCATGCTGTTACTCCGTGAGACCTCCCTCGAACTACTATAAGTAGAGGCAAGTAAGCATAGAAGTCTCCTTCTTTTTCCAACAACACGCCTCTTCAGTTCCTATCGCTCAGTAATTAGCAAAAATCAAACCTCAAAAAATTCTATAACAAACCTAGTAACTTCTTACAAAATGGCTTCAAGTCATTCAGCGGTGAACCCGGAAGTTACTGGACCAAGTCTCTCAGACTTTCCCGAGAGTATTCGAAACAAGATTGTTCTGGTTAATATTCCTGCGGTTGAAGTGCAAGCCCTCATCGAAAAGGAATGTCCTCCAATGCTAGAGAAAATTGCACCATATGGTGTCAATTGGATGAGACATGTCATGTACAACACCATCCCCAAGGAGATCCGAGTCTACGCGTATCTCCATTATGACATGGCCCAGCCAGACTGGTACGAAAAGTATGGCCCTGCGTCTCTTCTTTTTCGATACAACACCCACAGAATTGAGCTGGAGCAGGAAGTATCTGAGGAGCAGGCCCGCAGCATGTTGAGGTTTTACGCTCTCGTACAATATTATGCCAAAGAATTGACCGAAAACACAATTCGGCGACAACAAGGAAAAACCCCTGAGTACGTTCCGAGAAACACTTCTAGAACTGAGATGCTACGTGTCGAACGTGCCCTCTACATACATGACATTCTATTGCAGGCGATGACCACCATACCCCGCCACACCATGACTCGTAAGGAGGCCAATGCTCCTTGGAGGAGTTTCCTAGGAAATTTCACCGGCTGGATGCTATATCAGCTGATTACCGTGACGAATCTCCTTCACAAATACGGTACGTGATCAGCCCGAAGTCTTACTAGTATTGAAGCGAGAATACTGATTGAAACAATAGATGAGGCGAGGTGCAAAGCTGATCATGTAGAGCTGCAATGCGCTCTCACCACGTTCTCCAAGGAAAACGACCGCAACTATCCGGTGAGTTCTAGACCCAACATACATTGAAGTGCATTGTGAGCCCTAACTATCTGCAGTTGGAAGGAGGATTGGCATTCAAGCGCAAAATGGACGAAAATTGGCATCAGGGATTGGATGCTGAAGACGAGGTTCGCTTCAAGTGCTGGAAGGCTGCTGGCAATTCTATACTTTCTTACACTTGGGCGAAGCTAGAAAACAGCGACCCCGAGTTCAACAAGCAGAAGTTTTCTCCAAATACTGACCCGGCTATCAAAAGGATGTATGATCCATTTGTGTTCATCGAGGAGGATAATGGCCCACACCGTCTCTGGTACGAGATCGCGGAGGAACGGCCTGCTAATCCTGATACGATGATGGGTCAATTCTACAGCGGTTCTGGCCATCCGCAATACATGCTCTTCATGTGGGATGAAGCCCGGCTGCGAGAAATGGGATACCTATCGGGTGACGACAGTCCTTGAGAACAGAATGACCATTCTTGCATCTTACCCACGGCTTGAGATCACCTAGGAGCTTGGTATCACTAGTCGTTCTTTTTTACTTGCTTACTGCTAAAAAATAAGCTCCCATTAAATCGAAACATACTTTTGCTTTGAATAACTATGACCCCATCATCTGTAGACCGCTTTTTCGCTTTCCACCAACCAATCCAGAAGATAATTATATCACGCTAATTGTAGATCTGTGCACATAGAGTTCATAGCACCGACCTTCAGTCCCTATCCACCCCAAACAAAACCAAACCATGAACTCAACACAAGTGATCCGCCCACAGACACAGACTAACCAGATCTGCTATACTAGACAACCTCTACTGACAGCACACCACACACTGAAATTTGGGGTGCATACTGTACAAATTGCAGGCTGCATGCATGCATATGTGTGTCACTGTGGATGTACCACTCTACAGTATGTTTTGTGTGACCCCACACTTGTGAAGGTGGTACACGATCGATTCGTATGTGCATAAGTGCATAAGCACGCTTGATGTATTTGATGCTGACATACTCACTTACTTACGGAAATAGTTGATTCGTTAGTTAGGATCAGGATCCGTGACATCAAGTATCTAAGTAAGTTGGTGATTTGCATGGTCGTGAATGTTTGCTTTTGACAGGTGCGCACTATCGAAGTTTAGTATATTAGAGTTGGAATTGGGCTGATTATCTACGGTTCTTTCTGGATGGGGGGTAGGGTGGGATTTGACTTCAGTGCGATTTGCTTTTTCTTTTCATTATTATACTTCAGGTGATGTACAGGGATTTGAGAGTAGGGGTTCGGGATATGAGATGATGGATCTATTTACCATGTAGGTATTCAAGGAGTGTGTATATTGGGTTCTTCTTTTTTGCTCGCTTATATTACTCATTGACTATATATATGAGTTCATCTACATTTGTGATTAAGGTGGAGAAAAGAGCTACTAATGACAGTGACGATGACGTTGACGCTGACGGGATCTGGTCACTGCTGATTTGGATCTGTGCGAGGATTAAGTTGGATGATGTCGATCGTTTCCATCGTTTGCTCTGTCGCAACTCGCAAGATCCATGCCAATATGGGGAAATCAATAATCAACTGAGGGATTTTTGGGTTTCATTGTCTAGATACAGTAGCCAATTCTGAGGCGGGAACTATGTTATGTTCCAATTTCACGGTTCGCTTCACGAGTCATGCAGGATCGGTATTCGTATTATGTAGATTACTGGTATTCCGCTTCTTTTTTGGTTATCGATTGTAGATAGATAATTTATCACTTAGACTAGTCCTCTATTTTCCATATGCCTGCCAAGCCCAGCAGTATGCACCATGAGGCTTTAGTACTTCCGGTAAGAATGATGACCCCGGCCGATCTACATGCATACATTGACCCTGAATACCCCAAGAATTTAAGCCACAAGGGTATTCACGGTTATTGACTAGTATGTATTGTTGAAGATTTTCAGGCCAAGAACAACAGATAATTAGATACAATCCAGTGGCAAAATTTATCATGTGTGCTTGGTATGCGAAGAGCAGAATCCAACTTGGCAGATAGCCGATCCTGATAAGAAGGGAGGATACCGTGTAGAATCTCTACTAAGTATGAAAAACCCCCCGCTCACGAGGACAATTACCCACCCGACATTGATCGTATCTCAAATGTCTCGCATCGCAATGCTGCATCGTCATAGGCTTGCATTATCGCTCATTAGTTCCACATAATTACCCGACTCGTTTTCCTAGACATGCTTGAGATCCTGTGCTACGCGAGAATTGCAAATCTGCAGGCTAGATTTATCTACTGTGGGCAAAATTACTACACTGCGGAGCAGGCACATAGAGCAAGTAAATAGGAAGGGATCAAATCAAACTAGTCAGATATTTAACCAAATGATTCAGACCCCTTAGGAGGAAAAGCCAATGAAACCACACCATTCCGACACACGAGGTTTCGATTTCAAATTCTCCCTCCTACGCGAAGCAAACAATCAATCAATCTTGTCAGGCGGCCTAATGTACGTACTAAAATGAAAGCCACCAACTGCAGGTACCACACATGCACTCCCGTCCAATCCATGGATGGATGACTCGAATCGCGCAAACCTGAAACTTGGTCCTTTTTAAGATTCAGTCATACTCCGCCCCCGGCAACTTCGTCTCACCAATCTTATCCCGGCAGTAGTGAACCGGTGGTACCAAACTCTCTCTCACAGTCTCACTTCCATCAAGTGAGAGAGAGTGGCTAAAGTTAGTTTGGAACTGGCGCCCTGCAGGTAAACGAACTACGGAGTAAGTCATGCCTGCCTGCCCCCCTCTTCCCCCCTCCTCTAGAATTTTGTGCTGCCTTGCCATCATGTCTCCCATGACAGGATGATTGACCTATGGGTCATAACTCAAAAAAGCGATGCCATGGATGGAATTCAAGAAGATAAAATTCGAAAGGCACTGATCAGATTTTCTCGAGATCTTGTGCATTATTATTATTATTATTATTTCTTTTTTTCCTTCTTTTCATTCCCTCCACTTTCTCTCTGCACGGTTGCGTGTGCAGTAACAAGTAGTTCAGACTAGTGCCGCGTCGTGCTATCCAGTACGGAGTAGATCCCCTCTTTTTTTTTTCCCCCTCTTCTCTTACAGTGCAAACCCCCGACCCGACTTGAGAGGAGTGGGTGGGTGTGGGTGGTGGCAACAGATTACCGACTTACGGGGACTCAGGTACCCGTGGACGGAGAAGCATTGGGCCAGGGGTAAAAACGAGAGAAAGAGAGAGGGCGCGCGGACGGATGGGGAAAAGGGACTGACTAACTACAAAGTATCTACAACACTAACTACTCAGGTCATGCGAAATTAAACATTTCCTGCAAAACCTTGGAATGTGCCATGCGATGGGCTGATGCACTAAAAAAGATTAAGATAGCATCTTAAGTTATTATCATTTTTTACCTTATGTTTTTACTGTGACAAATGGGAAGGCTGCTGCTACTACTACTGTTGCAAGTAATGCTAGTCTCTCTTCTACGTGGAATCTCACTATCTAGTTAGGCTAGGGTCGCTTTTTCGTGTGCTTAACTCCGAACCTACGCGCTACTATGGAGTACGGATACTAAGTATCTATCTGCACCCCCCGGTTACGGTACGTGCAAGCCGTGGGCTCCGCTGGGTTTTTCCCCTTGCGTCTTCTTGCATGGGCGACCATCCGACGGTCAAGAAGCGGCGGCAGACGATCATCCGGATATCATTATTTGGGGGACGGGGTCGATCCGGATGATTGTTTATGGATACTACTGTATTTTACTTATTTATAATGTATAAGTAATCGGAATTGTTTGTCTGTTGTTTGGATAAGAAGGTATTCTCATAGAGGGGTGAGGGTGAAGTTCAAGGTTTGAACGAGAGAGGGAGGGAGGGGAAGAAATACCCAAAGCGGTAAATGGAATTGGAGGAACGCTAATTTATCTCTCCGTCCATGGGTATAAGCTAGCTATTATATCCCAAACATCTGACCTGGAGAATGTCTCTAAATTCTTTGTCTTGGATTGACAGTCATGACGCATTGATTAATTCAACCTCGTCTGTCTCGATATCTGGCTGTCAGTCAGCTGGAAGCGGAATGGATTGACCGGTCCTTTAAAAATCAGGAGGCGTGTGCTGGTGGTGGTGGTGATGGTGGTGGGTGGGAAAATACTAACTAATAATCCCTGAGGGAGGAACAGACCGACAGACCGACAGACCAAGACCGTAGGGACCAATTTCAGGAACAGGAATTGTTCACTGGGTCTCTGGGGCTGCCTGGGTGGAGAGAGGGCCTTCATGTAATCCGTTCAACCGTTGGGCCACCCTGTGCTCCGTTCCCTTTTTTCCTTTCCTTTCCCCCCCCCTCTCTCATGCAATACTTAGTCAGTGGTTGGTACACACTGTGAAAAGAAATAGGGAAAAGGAAAAAGAAAAAAGAAATAGAAAAATACAAATGATGATACATACAAGTAGGAGAATTTGTCACTTTTGAGAAACACGTTTACGAAAAAAAAAGTAATGACCAGAAAGAAAGAAAACTACTACTACTCAGCAACCTCAGCATGATGTTGATGCAGGTGTAGACTAAATGCAGGTCCACCAGACATACTACTAGTACTCAAGGTCAAACTGCCCTGACGAAATTTGAATCCTCGCGCGACTAAAAAGTATCTACTTTGTTTAGTGGCAGTGGTACCTGCTTGGCCCTCCATCCCGTCCGCTGCAAGTCACGGAAACCAACTCCACCCTTAACCAACCGTAAACGCCGTCTTGAGGGTTCGAGCGGATTTATTTCTCCCCTCCTTTAGTCCACTCGCGAACCATCCTGTGCCTTTTTTTCCCCCCTCCCTCTCTTGTTTCTCCTGGATCTGGAGCACCGGCTCAATACCCATTCTTCTTATTCTTCCCTTAATGATCATTATTTATTATTATTATTATTATTATTGATTTTCCCTCTTCAACACTTCTATCACTCCAGCTGTACCCTCTTTGTTCTGCTGTCGTCGTCGTAATCCCCTTCACCCATTGTCAACTTTCCACTCTGATATCCTACCGCATTCTACAAAGTTGATTGATTGGGATCTCTAATTATTATTTTTTTTTTTATTCACCGCACTTGTTCTCTCCCTTTTTACTTTCTTTTCCTGATCACCCACTCCCTTCTTAATTCACTGTCATTCCGATCCCTTCCCCCTGTTGGTTAGTGACTTGCTTCCTTAGGAGGTTGCCCTGATTGATTTTCCTCTGCATCCGACCGGCATCTTTTCTCCTGCCTGCCTCCCTCCCCCCTCCAGTCTCTCTCTTTCACACTCTTCATCGATCATTAATTAACCCTCCCCATCCTTGCCTTGCGCCTCCTTCCCTCTTCGGCAGTGGGAAATTTCCTCTTCCATACCACAACCCATCTCTTTAATCTCCTCTACAACTCCTCCGTCCCTCTCCGATTCGGAATTATTCCCAC